TGGTGATCGACAACTTCCGCAACGCCATCCGAGGTAGGGCGGGCGGGTGAGCTTGGGGTGCAGGGGTCCTCCCGGCCCGGCCGCCGCAGCGCTGTGACGCCCGGCCCGTGCCCGTGCCCGCAGGGGAGGGCGGCCTGCCCGAGAGCCTACGGCGGGTGCAGGGGCTCGCGGGCCGCGAGATCCTGTTTGAGGAGCTGGACGTGCTGGACGAGGCGGCGCTGCGGGGGCTCTTCGGGAAGGTGAGCGGCCGGGCCGGGCGTGGGGGAGGACCAGCACCAAGCTCCGGCTGCGCCCCCGGGCCCTTCCTGGCAGTCTCTCGCAGAAGGAGCCGAAACCTCCAGCTTTCGCCCGAGCCCCTGGGGCTGGGGTGTCTCCTCTCCCGCTTGTGCCGCGGGGCTGGAGGCGGCTCCTGGGGGGGCACCAGAGCCGTCCCGGCGGAGTCAGGGGTAGGGAAATCCTGGCTTCGCGAGGTATCCATTCCGCCGTGCACAGAAAGCAGAAAATGTTCGTGGAGGGGGCGGTGAGAATCGGGGCTTGGCCAGGCAGCCGCCTTCCCACCTGCACTAGCCGCTGCCCCTATGGTAGTTTTCAACCCGATGGCAGGTGGTCACCGACACTGCTACCCCTGTTCTACCCCCGAGCTGTGTGCATTTGTCCCCTCTGCTTCGCAGCACCGCTTCTCGGCAGTAATGCACTTTGCAGGGCTGAAGGCGGTGGGGGAGTCAGTCCAGAAGCCCCTGGAGTACTACAAGGTGAACCTCACGGGGACCATCCGGCTGCTGGAGGTGAGTGAGGCATGGCGCTCTGGTGTGAAGCCTTGCGGGTGGGGGGAGAACCGAGGCAAACTTAGGTGGAAGGCTGAAGGGGAGGAGGGAGATGCTGAGGACTGGGGGCTGTCAAATATGCGCCCACTGGGAAGGCACGAAGGCATCTTGCGGAAGATGAAGGGCCAGCAGCTGGGCTGTGGGCTTAAGGCTGCGATTCGAGAAGCACCGGGTGCCTCAGGAGAGTCTTAGCCCTGCGGTATGCCCAGCGATTCAGTAGCCAGGGGCCTTGCTAGAGCCCCCACATGGTACCAAGGTTAGTAATATAACTGCTGTATCTGCTTGCAGGGAGGTTGGCTCCTTTGCTACGGGCCAGGTGCTACTCCTGCCCTGATCAGTGCAGGAACTAGCCCGCCACCTCCTTGCCTTCTGCCAGTGGTTTCAGCTGGAAGCAGCCTGCTGCACCCTGTGGTGCTGCTCTTACACTCAGAGCGGCTGCACATCAGCTGGAGATGAGCCCTGTGTCTCTGCAAGGGCTCTGGTCTGGGCACAGCCTGGTGGCAGGGCCCAAGCCCATGGGGCAGGCTCGGTGTCAGACGGTCCCTGCCCTCGCAGGTGATGAACGCGCACGGTGTGAGGAACATAGTGTTCAGCAGCTCGGCCACGGTGTATGGGGACCCTACCTACCTCCCCCTGGACGAGAAGCACCCGGTCGGCGGCTGCACCAACCCCTACGGCAAGTCCAAGTACTTCATTGAAGAGATGATACGAGACTTGTGCAAGGCTGAGAAGGTAACAACCCCCCACAACCCGGCACGTGCATGAAGCTGGGATCTCCCAGCCCCTGGGTCTTGGCAGTGTTCAAGGCCTTGGACTCAGTGGTGCCCCTAGCTCCGTGTGCAGGGTTAGACCTATGTCCAGTTCTCTTATCCCCTGGGGAAAGACTCAACCTCCTCTGCAGCACCATCCTCCTCAAACTCCCCCAAGCTGAGGGGGACCCCGGGAGCAGGAGGCTGGAGCATGTGGCCTGAGAGCTGGGAGCACATGCCCTGCTGGGGACCATGGCCCTGTTTCCTCTGTGGAACATCCTGCCTTAGTGCTGCCCCTGTTTGCTGTGACTGTGTCCAAGGGCCTGGGCTGGCTGCTCTTGCCTTGCATGCCACAGAGACTCGGCACTTGGAGGGCAGCAGGTTAGATGAGCTAGCTGCTTTTGCACCCTGTGCCCACATTCCCAGCTCCTCGGGCAGTGCCTGACACAGCCTGGGCTCCTTGCATGGGCTGTGGGAGCCTGTTCTGTGCCCTCCCTAGACAGGGCCAGGCTTGACAAGTAGGGATGTCTCCCCAGGGCTGGAATGCAGTTCTGCTGCGCTACTTCAATCCCATCGGGGCCCATGAGTCAGGAGACATTGGAGAAGACCCACAGGGGATCCCCAACAACCTCATGCCCTATGTTGCTCAGGTACAGCCTCCTTTCCCTCCCCCTCTTCCTCATCACACCTGCTGAGCATGAACTTACAGCCCTTCCCTCATGCAGGTGGCTGTGGGGCGCCGGGAGTTCCTGAGTGTGTTCGGGAACGACTATGACACTGTGGATGGGACAGGTGTGCTGCTGGGCTCAGAGTTGCTCATGGGGTGTGGGGGGAGGCACGGGGCAAACCCTGGTAGAGGGACCCAGCTCTGTTGCGGGGTGGCAAAGGGCCTGGCCTGTTGGCTGCAGGAGCAGGACAGGTGCTGCCCCCCCGCCCCCCCAACGCAGCCAGAAACACTGGCAACCACCCTTTGTTCCCTGGCAGGTGTCAGGGACTACATTCATATTGTGGACCTGGCCAAGGGTCACATCGCTGCGCTGAAGAAACTTAAGGAGAACTGTGGCTGCAAGGTAGGGAATGGTACCCTGAGGAGTTGCCATAGCATTAGGCTGGGATGCCTGTGCAGGTCCAGCCTTCATCTAGAGGCCACCGCTAGGCTGTAGCGTCACGGGGCTCCCACCCCTGACACATGCCTGTCTGCATAATTGAGACGGAGGCATTGCTGTCTGCAACTCATGGGGGGGAATCTCTCCAGGGAAGCCTCTTCATGGCACACCATGCAGGTTCCTGGGTGCAGGGAGCTCTGCTCCAGGGGGCCAAGGCCTGACTCCCAGGTAGGAGAGCAGCTGCAGCCCTGCCGAACGCAGGAACCCAGTCCCTGCCCTTCTACCTGGGCTGCTACAGGAGTGGAGGCTGGGCCCAGTGCTTGGTTATGCTAAGGAAAGAGGCAGACCCCCAAGCACAGCCAGCAAGTGTCCTGTCCTGTCCTTGCAGATCTACAACCTGGGCACAGGCACTGGCTACTCCGTCCTGCAGATGGTTAAGGCCATGGAGAAAGCCTCCGGCAGGGAGGTAAGGCACTTAACTGCTGCAGTTTGGGCTGGCACTTAAGGCTGTATCTATGCCCGCAGCGTGGGGCTTGTCCTGTCCTGCTGGCTGAGGGGCATGTGGAGCCACTGGTTGCAGGCTGCCTGCTTGTGCAACAGCCCTATACAGCCCAGCCAGGTGGCATCCTGCCTCCCCCTACGCTGGGGGTCTGCCCAGGCAGGTTCTCCCCCACACACCCTGGGAGCTGCTGGCTCAGGCCCTACTGCTCTGTTCATAGATCAAGTACAAGATCGTGGCACGGCGGGAGGGCGATGTGGCCACCTGCTATGCAGACCCTGGGCTAGCTGCGCAGGAGCTGGGCTGGAAAGCTGCCTTTGGCCTCAACAAGATGTGTAAGCACTGTGCCTGTGCCCCAAAGCTCCCCTTCCCCCTCCCTCCATGGTGCTGGGAACCTGTTGGCCTGGGGCTCAGCCCCTCTCCTGGCTCCTTTCCAACTTGTCTCCCTCTTTGCAGGTGAGGACCTGTGGCGATGGCAGATGCAGAACCCCATGGGCTTCAGCAAAAACTGAGGCCTGGCAGCCAGGAGGTGCCTCAGCCCAGGCAGCCACAGGCTTGGGGGAGGCTTCTGCCTCCTCCTGCCCCTCCCCCTCCCTCTGCCCAGTTCCTGCCCCACTCCAGCACTGCTCAGCCTTGGCCAGGGCCACTTCCATTCCCCAGAGCCCACTGGGAACAGCCAGGAGCCTGTCTAGCTTGGGACCACAGTCAGTGTAGACTAACCTGGTGCTGTGCTCACTACCTGCTCCCCAGCCTGGGGCAGAGCACAGGGTGTAGGCTGTTCCCCATTATGGGCAGGCCCTGAGCAGGGTGGGAGCTCCTGAGCATGGCCCCCTCCTACCATCTACCTCATGGCTACAAGCCAGCCTGTGGCAGCTTCCCAGCCCGTTCCATATAGCCTTGTTTCCATGGGTGTCACCATTTCACTTCCACAGGCATTGATGCCATTTCTTTTCCACATAGGGGACTCGGGAGATGGTCCCACCTATCTTGGGGTGGACTCGCTCCTTCCCTCTCTTCCCCTCCCTCCTCTCAATAGCAAGGGACCAAAGGCTCCTTCCAAGGTGTGCTAGAGGCATGGGAGCCAGTGCCTCGTGTTTACATGACCACCGCTGCACTCTCGTCTACAGCATCCGATGTCCTGTCTTGGTGATGGGTTCCTGGGTTAGTGACTAATCATTAAGCGAATCATGTTTCTGGTTTTGTTCTTGGCCAGCAGCGTGTGGCAGTGTGCGGGGTCTAGTAGGTCTGAGCTGAGGCCTGCTGTGGTCATGTCAGACTCCTGTCACCCATGGCACCTTGCTTAAACTCGTGCCAAAGCCCATGTGGGCAACTGCTTTGCTCTCCTGCCTCGTGGGGGTAAGAGCTGTGCCTACCCCCACGCTGGGCCAACACTACCATTGCCCCACTGCTGCTGCTGCATCCTGGGTCTGTAACTTATGCTACTAAATTATGAATTGAGCTGTTGATGGTTTCTATTTAAAAATAAACTTTCTTACTCTGGCAGCCCTGTAGCTTGCATATGCTGGGGCAGGGGGCGTAAGCTTTACCAGAAAGCCCCTGGGGGTGGGCCCTGAGCAGAGCTCCCTGCAGGAAAGATGTCAGCTCAGGCCTGTGGGAGAGGTCCATGGTTTATTTAATCTCTGGAACTGGAGGGGAAAAAAATAACCCAAAACACATACAAGGAAGACGAGAGAAAATAAAAACCAAGTGTGGAATGGACAGTGCCTCTGCCCAGCTCCTGGGGGCTCCATGCGGTGTCCCCCCCCCCCAGGCAGCGAGCAGCTGCATGGAATGCCTTGGACAGGGCCAGGCTAAGAGCAAGCAGGGCCCCAGGACCAAACCCACTGATCCCTGCCGCACAGGTAGTGGGTGAGGACTGTCCCAGCCTCCAGGGGGGCTGCTGCTCCCTCTGTCCACACCCCCCCCCACCCGTGCCTCTGACTGGGTTGGGGTACAGGGGGAAACTGTGACCAGCAGGATGGAGCCCAAAGCAGGGAGGGGGGCTGTGGCCATGAAGTCCTGCTGGGCGTGCCCTAGCTGAGGCTCTAGGAGGGTTATTGCTGTGTGCAGCGGGGGCTTGGGTGGGGAGTGAGGTGGCAGCTGCCACCATGCACCAGTCTTATGCTCCCCTCGGCCTGGTCTGGGGGGCCTGGCCCAATTTAGGGCCCAGCTACTCTCCTTCCCCCCCCCGGGACCCAGCAGCCCCCCTTGCTATCTTGCAGACCCCAGCCATGCTCTACCCCACACTTGTACAGGGCAGGCTCCAGGGTGCAAGGGGGGCAGGTATCCCCTTGCCCCACTGGTGCTGCCAGCTTGGTGCCCCCCCAGGCAGGGCAGGGGCCATGCATGGCCCATGCAGCAAGGGGCTGCTGGGTCTGGGGTGTGGGAATGAGAATTCAGCCCTTAGCCTCAGAGGTTTGTGTAAAAGACACTTGCAGCTCAGCTCCCAGGCCCCGCTGTAGTCAGGGCCAAGACCACTGCAGGCTCAGCCCATGGGAGAGAGGGGGCTGGTGCTGCTCAACAGCAAGCCCCTCAGGCCAGCTCAGCAGAGGGGAGGGGAGAGGTGTTGAGAGTCCAGCCCTCAGCTGGAAGGGCCTGGCTAGGGGGAGGGCTCAGAGAGCCTGGCACAGCTGGGGAGTGTGGGGGGGGCCTCAGTGCTGTAGGGAGCTGCACTGTCAGGGAACCTGCACCCACAGGCCACTCCTGCCAGCTGTAGGGACTGCTTTCCCAGAAAGAAGCAGGCCCTGCCTTGGCCCAGCAGGAGGTTGTGCTGATGGGCTACCGCTTAAAGCAAAGAGGGCAGGGTCCTTACCCAGGAGGAGAGGGCTGAGCTAGCTGAAGCAACAGGCCACTGGTGTCCTGGGGCAGATGCTGGTGAGGTGAGGGTAGGAGTGAGCCCAGCTGGCGGCAATCCCAGCCGGCATCGGGCCCTGGCAGCCGGAGGCTTCCCCTCACTCCCTGCCTCAATGAGGGAAGGAGTAGCAGCAAGAGATGTAGAGGATCAGGCCAGCACCTGGGCGGCCCCTGTGCCAGGGAGCTGGCTGTAAACGGCAGGGATTTGTCTTTGCCTGCAGGGGCAGTACCCAGCAGGCACAGATTGCAAGAGTGGGGAGAGGGGCGATTATCTGTATGAGGGCGGTGTGGGGCTGTGCCTGGGGCAGCGGGGGCCAGCACCCCCCCGGCTTCCGCAGACACCCGCATAACACTGTAACAGCAGAGAAAACCAGGGGGCCCCGGCCTGTGCACACTGTGCCCAGGACTGGAGCCAGGGAGAACCGAGGGAGGGAGACCCGCCAGGGGCAACGAGTGTGAGGGCAGGGAGGGGAGCGTACGGTGCACGGTCCGAGGGAGGAGCCCCAGGGCCAGCTCTGCTCGGCTCTGGGCACCAGGGCGACAGCCCCATGCCCCGGGCAGAGGCAAGAGGAGGAAGGGCGCGAGTGGAGGCGAGGTTGGTTGCCATGGCTTCCGGTTGCAGCAGCCGGGTCTGGGGCGCGAGGTCGGCGGCCGTGACCTCCGCGTCCTTCCCCGCGACAGTCTTGAGTGGCTCTGCTCAGATCCGGGGCAGCAGTTTCTCAATGAACTCCTTCACGGCCAGCATCTCCTGCGCACAGCGCCAGAGCCCTGTCACACAGGTGCTGCCCCAGCCTGCGGGCGCCGCAGGGCAGGGGCCCATGCTGAGTGCTCTGGGGCTCCAACTCGGGCACTCCCAGCCCACAGCTGGGCCCAGGGGCAGCCTTATGCCAAGGCAGACCCCCTGCCCCCCGCACAAGTGGGCAAAGGACTGTACTCCCCATGTCTGCTCCAGCCTGGGCCTGCCCCCTGCCTAGGAGGGTCTTCCCACTTCTGCCAGGCTAAGGGAAGCTCAGGCCCCTGAGGCTTCACTAGAAAGACTAACAGCTGCTGTAGACAGTGTCCCTGCTTCAAGACGAGGCATGAACTACAGGTCCTAGTATATGATGTGCCCCTGTCCCACCCCCCAGCCTCCTCATGGACTCCCCAGGCTACTACCAACTGGGAGCTGTGGCCTCTGGTGAAGGTGAGGACATGCCTGAGCCACTCCATGGGGGAGTTGTGTGTATCTAGGGCTCATGGCAAGATACACGCGAGGCTCTGGGAAGTGTTGTGGGGACACCACCCGGGAACCGCTGTGACTGCCACTGACCTGCGGGCAGGAGCTGTGCATGACGCCGGGGTAGGTTCTGAACTGCACCTTGGTGGGGGTGACAACTGACTTGAGCTTCTCGGCGGTGAGGGCCCCGAAGCGGACAGGGATCATGGGGTCCATCTCCCCGTGGCACTGCAGGATGGCGATGTCCTTGTTCACGCTGTTACTTGCTGCCTGTGGGGCAAAGGCCAGAGCTCAGGGGTGTGTGGGGGATGGCAGGGCCCTTCTGGGGGCTGTGCTGGGCCACCCCTGCAAGCACTGAGTGCTTGGGCTTCCCAAGGCAGAAGGGGCAGCAAAGGTGCCCTTCCCTGGCTCACACCCCACACAGGATAGTTGGGAACAAGAGAGACATGCAGATGCAGACACAGAATGGTACCTGAGGGAAAGCCTTGTGCAGCGGGAGCCAGCAGCTGAGTGCCACGATGCCAGCAAGCTGGTGCTGGCAGGTAAGTGCTGTGTACAGCGACAACGCACCGCCCTGAGACAGGGACAGCAGAGAAGCAAGTGTCAGGAGCAGGGAGCCCCTTTCCAGGGGGAAGGAGGCTCTGAGGGGGGAGCAGCAACTACACCCACCAGCCCCCCGCCAACCACCCCCTGGGGCTGAGGCACTGCCACCACTCCCCAGCCATTGCCCTCCATGCCCGCAACTCCAGGACAGGGAACTGGGGCCAGTGAGACCACATGTGCCCCTTCCCACACCTTTACACCTGCTGGCCCCACTCACCTGCGAGAAGCCCCCCAGGATGATGCGGTTGGGCGGGATCCCGTTCTTCACCTCATGCTCAATGATGGCTTTGACTGCAAGGAGGCAGGCAGGAGTTAGGGCAAGGCAGCCAGGCCACAGGGGCTCCCCAGTGTGCCTGCCAGAGCCATGTGCACTGAGCACACCGGGAGCAAAGGCCACTCAGTCCTCAGTGTAGGCAGAAGGGGAAGGCAGGGCCTGGCCTGGAGGTACCCAGCCTGGCTTGGCCCAGCCCTGCACCCACTTACTGTTCTCAGCAGCTTTCTTGATTCCAGCTTCATCCTCTGGCGCATCTGGGCTCAGTCCCATTAAGTCAAACCTGGGGAGCAGCAGGAGGATCAGCCACACAGGGACAGGCAGAAGCTGCTCCCCCTGTCCTGGGCTCAAGCTATTCCCTTTTCTTCTCCCTCCACCCCCTAGGCTGGGCTCAAGCTTTTGCCCTTGCCCCCTCCCCCTCCCCCTCCCCCTCCTACCAAAACCCATGAAGGGCTTTCACCCTGGGACTCCCCCACCCTCCTGGGTCCCCCTCATGTGGGTCTCCCCCAGTAGGGACTGACCAGGAGGGCATGACCATCTTCATATTGAGGGTGACAGGGATCCGGGGCCTGCAGGGAGGAAACAGATGGTTAGGCCTGGCAAAGAGGGAAGGGGCCCTGGTGCAGGGAGAGCTGCCCTGGGTCCCCGAGAGGCTGCACCTCAAGGGCAGCAACCAGCCAACACAGCACAGTGTGGCCTGAGGGGTGCCTGTACTCCTTGCCCC